GTGGCTGTAGAAGAAGTGCAGGGTAAAAGGCTTTTAGATGAGATGTCAGTTAGACAGGTTGTAAAGATGGAATGAACCGTGAATCCTGTCTTAGTCGTAAAAACTACAGGGATTATCTCTTGTCTTTGCTTGTTGTGTTTTCCTTCCCAAATGTTAACCCTCAATCTCCCGGGCTCTGTACCCTTCAGCGGAGCAGAAGCGGTCGGTGACTTTCACTGAAGCCCAGCCCGAGGCTCCCCCCTCCTGCCCCGGGGACCCTCTGGCTCTGGTGGCCCAGCACGGGGGCTGCGGCCACAGCAGCCCCCCAGCGACCAGCGAGCAGGAGCCCCTCAGCAAGCCCGTGCTGACCTCCTCCCCTGCCATCATCGTAGCTGATCTCCACAGTCAGGCCGCTGGCCAGGTAACGTGACGGGTTTGTTGGGTGGGTCTGTCCCCCTTGTTCCACCCGAGTCACAGGGCAAATGGATGGGAAAGGCCGAATGCATTCCAGCACTGTAATGAAGGCTAGAAGGAGAGGGACAGCAGCAAAGTCTCCTGTGTGGCTGTCTGCTGTGCAACCCCCTTCTAGATCTCTGCAGCTATTCCTAATTTGCAGATATATTTCCTGCATCTTCCTTTTCCATCACACATCCTTCTGGACCTGCTCACCAGTGCAAGCTTTGCTCGACAGGTTTGACAGGTTATTCCGAGAGAGATGCCTCCTTAAGGGAGGCTCCTCCAAAAGCCTCAGGACTGTTTTAGCAAAAGCATCACACTGCAAAAGAAATTTTTTGTCTAACATTTTTCTCTGTTGGGTATCACTGAGGACAGTGCAGGGACAATCCCCGTCATCCCTTCAACATTGAGATCACTGTGCCCAGGTATCTTTTGGGGCTGCGCCCTTTGCCATGAACACATGAAAGAGCCCCTTCTTCAGAATCATAGAATGACTCACAGAATGGTTTGGATTGGAAGATCATCTCGTTCCAGCCCCCTGTGATGGGCAGAAACACCTTCCACTAGACCAAGTTGCTCCAAGCCCCATGAAACCTGGCCTCGAACACTTCCTGGGATGAGGCATCCACAACTTTATGCAACCTGTACCAGTGCCTCACCACCCTCACAGGGAAGAATTTTTTCCTAATATCTAATCTAAACATACCTCAGTTTCAAGCCGTACGCTAAAACTGATGAAATAAGGAAGTGCTGACGACTGAAATCAGATACCTTTTCTTATAATTTCTGCAGATTTGATTCACTATTGTTAGGGGGTATCATTTTAATGGGTTTATAATCTGCAAATACCCGACCCTTTATGGTAAAATGTATTTCTGTACAAGAAAATATTTTATAGATGTTCCTTTCCTCGTCTTGCCCTCTCCCTCCCACTTTCTCTCTGTCTGACCACCAGCTCTCCTTAATTGCAGAGCGAGGCACTCCCTGCTGAGAAGGAGAAGGAAAAAGAGGAGGGCCCGGAGTCCCGGCCAACAACAGCACAGAGCACCCCACCCACCCAGCTCTCTGACACCGAGGACTATGCTGGCCTCGAGACCACCAGCTTGCTGCAGCATGGGGACACTGTGCTGCACATCAGCGAGGACAACGGGATGGAGAACCCCTTGCTGGCCACTCACTTCAGCTTCACACACGTGGAGCTTGGGGAGACGGACGTCGATCTGGATGAATCCCACGTTTAACTCCTGGGGAAGTGCCGTAGTGGGTGGAGGAAGAGAAAGTGCACCATCTCCTTAGAACTCCCTGCTAACTCGTAATTAATTAAAACCAAGAGCACTTTATTATCCTTATTATAAGAAAATGGCTATCAGCCATCAGCTATAGACTGGCAGATTTCTGTTTGTGAAATGTGTTTCAGTTCAGGGCAGGACCACAGGATAAGAGAATTTGTACTGAATTCTCAGGGTGTAGGGGTGTGTAGGCAAACATGTGGTCCACAGAGCCTTGATCTGGCAGCCATGTACTGTGACCAGCAGCCTCGTGGGTAACAGGCTGCTGCACTGTGTGAGACAGAAAAGCCTCTTTGGAGATTGTGCCCAATATTTATTTTTGTAGTGTTTTTGAGACGGGGGGCTATATAGCAGCTGAATCCAAGGCTCTTACACCTTGGTACTGACAGTGAAAACACTGGCAGTACCAATCTAAAGCTTGATTTTCACAAGCTTGGGACCGTTGTTCCTAACTTGCAGAGCAATGATAAGCACTAGGAAGCAATTACTCTTTTTTTTTTTTTTTCCTTTCTTTTGGCACCGCAGGCTTCAGTTCAGCTTACTTTGTCTGTTAGTTTCGTCCCACTCTGTAAGGTATTGCCTTTGTGCTACAAAGATATTTGCTCTGTAAAACTGAATACAGTACATGCTGTAAGCAGGAATGCACACGTACAGATGGGCAGGGGCTGAGTGACCTGCAGCCCACACTGTCCTGCTTAAATGTACTGAGCAAGTCATCTCAACAGCTTAAAAAAAAAAAACAAGAAACTGCATGGTCCCAAGCAACTGCTCCACTGATGCTGCCAGATTAAGAAGGATTTTAAGTAAATATTTATATATTGTATTTTCATGTTCCTATATATAAAAATATAAATATATATATATATATATATACACATTGTAAACGAAAGATGGCTATTCCAGGGCAGAAAACTTGATGAAAGAATCTATTTTTGGCATGTTGAGATTGTATTTAAGTTCCATTTTATGTATGTAATGATCATGGATGCAAGTGTTAAATATGTTTATGTAACATTTACAGAAGGGGAAGATCCCCAGGGGGATCAGCTGAAGTCACAGCTGAGTTATGGGCTCTGCTGCAGCATCATGGAATTACACTGAAATGTGAATTTAGCTATTGGCTACTGACAGGCAAACTGCAAAACAGCCGTGAAACAAACCATGAAATCATCAGCAATGCCCAAAGTTACCCTCTGCTTTGGGAATCATACACTGCCTCTTCCAGCTCACTTTAGAAGAACTGGGGTTCATAATCATGGCAATACTCTGCAGAGGAAAATGTTTTGGATCATCCTGAGAGTATCTAAAATGCGCTAATTACCACTTTGGCTCCTCAAGGCTTGTCATTTAGACACACATGTGATAAAAACAGCCTTAGGAGGGAAAGGATATCCTTCCAGCCATTTCCAAAGACAGGACTCGCACCTCTCCTCAACAACTCTGAAACAGCTGGTAAAATACAGCCACACAAACAGCTGCCTCTCTGCTGTAGTGCAGCGTGCAGATTTTACCATGGCTTGGAAGATTAACCACACACCTAACAGCAGGTTTCAGCCTGCAGAGCCTTAGGCTGCTCTGCCTGGCATTTACCAAATGCTCACATTTGATGGGAGCTGTGCACACCAGTTTGGGGAGTGAACTGGCCCACATTAAACCTCTGAAGAGAGCAAAAGCCATCTTTCTCCCAGGTGCTTTAGCATGCTCTGCTACCATTGCATTGGTGAGAGATGGAGACTCTCAGCCCTCTTGGGAAAAGCAGCTATTTTTATAGTGCAGCACATATATCCCTATATATATATATATATGGGGATATATAACATACAGGGGGTGCACCAGTGCAGCTCCAAAGGGTACCTGGTTTTCTAAGAGAGGTGGTTAGGTGGAGGTGGCAGTGCCACAGTGTGTGTCCTGAACAAAAGACTGCTTCCTCTGCTGACCAAAACGCGCTGTTCTGCTTCTTATCTCCTCAGTGCACAGGAGCCAATGCCAGGTACCTGCAGGAGACTGCTTTGGATTAGCTCCTAGCTCCAAGATCACTCCAAGAACGGCTGAATTTCAGATGATAAGTTTTATTATTAACAGTGACGCGCAAATGAGGAAACAATATAGCTTCACTTTCATGTCCCAAGGTAGGCTGGGTCATGGGCAGTCACAGGGAGCAGAGCTTCGAACGTGGGCTGAGATGGAATACATAGAGAACTCATGGTGCACTTCATGGAGTGACCTCTTCTGCTGGAAATGAGACGGAAGCATCTTCATTAATGAGAAGTAGAGGCCTCACCACAGTACTCTATTTTAGCAATGACAAAATTACTGTGATTTGCTTCATTTAATTCAGTGTATGTAATAACTGTTTCAAGTTTCCATTGTCTTTGGTGAATCCACAGTAGTAAGCCATAGCAAGGACTAAAATGCCTATTTTTAATGTCTACCCTGCTACTAGAAATCAATGCAGCTTATAAATGACGTAACTTGTAATTTAGTTTTATCCAAGTGGCAACTGGCTTTGGTTTTGTGGGATGACTGCTGAGAGATGGCACGGACAGGCAGGCCCATTAGCCTGATTTCTCATGTTTTACTGTCATATCGGTTGCCCTTAATGCTGTCCTGATGAGGTGCATAGAAAGTACTCTAGCTGGTTTGTGCTTTTCTTCAGTCTCTCTGTACCAAAACTGGTGTATTTCTGCTGTGAAGACAAACGATGCTGCTTTACATAGTGTTAGAGGCCTTAATCGCATGTCGTGTTCAGCAGTGTCCGGCTGTGCCTGTCTTGTCCGTGTGTCGGTCGGTCCGCTGCCTCAGCATTTTTATGCAAACGTTGTTCCTAAATACAAAGGAGTGACGGCAAAGGACAGTTCTGTGTTTGAGCCTCTTGCGCAACGCGGGCGGTTCTCTCTCTCTCTGAAAGGCTTCGATATGCGGTTTTGTTCCAGGATACCGACAGCATTTGTTACAATTTACCCGTCCGCTCCCCGTGCTGGCGCAGGGCGTGCAGCGGGAAGGGTCTGTGGCGGTGGCCCTGCCCACCCCCGTTCCAGCCTGGGGCTGAACTGTCTTTGGGGCTGACGAAATACACTTAATTGGGAACTTAAAGCCACTCAAACCAGAGCTGTTGTCATTACTCCCCCCAGTCTGGGCCCGAGGGTCGGGAGGGCTCTGAGCTGCCCGTGCCGGCGGGCCCGGCCCAGCCCGCGCCATTTGTGTCCCGTCAGCGCGGGCGGAGCCGCGGCCCCAAGATGGCGGAGGCACCGCCCCGTGCCGGCCTCCCCCCGCCGGCTCCTCCCTCCGTCCCGGCAGCAGCCGCGGCGGCAGTGATGGCGTCGGGGTGCAGGATCGGGCCGTCCATCCTCAACAGCGACCTGGCGGCCCTGGGCGCCGAGTGCAGCCGCATGCTGGACTGCGGGGCCGACTACCTGCATCTGGATGTAATGGACGGGTAACGCCGGGGGCGGGCGGGACGGGACGGGGGTGCGGGGGGCGGGCAGGTCCGCCCGCCCCACCCGGCCGCCCGGGGTAACCTGCGGGCGGGCGCGTCTCTCTCTTCGGCCCCAAGACACTTCGTCCCGAACATCACCTTCGGCCACCCCGTCGTGGAGAGCCTGCGCAAGCAACTGGGCCAGGAGCCCTTCTTCGGTAAGGGCCGGGGGCTGCGGGGCGCTGCCCGTCCTGCAGCGGGACGCGGCCCCAGCTCCCCGCTCGCTCCCCTTTCCAGACATGCACATGATGGTGGCCAGGCCGGAGCAGTGGGTTAAGCCCATGGCAGTCGCGGGCGCGAACCAGTACACCTTCCATCTAGAAGCGACGGACAATCCCGGGGCACTGATAAAGGACATTCGGGAGAATGGCATGAAGGTGAGGGGAGCACAGTCCGCGCTCGGCATAATGAGCGGCCACCTTGCTGGCAGGTTCTCTGGTGACCAGTGAATGTGTGTCGGGGGAGGTTTCTTCATCCAGAGGGTGGCTGGGCAGTGGAATAGGCTCTATAGGGAAATGGTCATGGCCCCAAGCCTGCCAGAGCTCAAGGAGCACTTGGACACTGCTCTCAGGCAAATGGTGGGACTGGTGGGGCTGTCCTGTGCAGGGCCAGGATTTGGACTCGATGATCCATGTGGGTCCCTTCCAGCTCAGGATACTCTGATTCCATGCTTCTATGAAAAACTAATTGTTGCCATTTCAGGTTGTCAGACATTGGCACTTGCAGCCCTAACACTCGGTGCATTAAGTCAGTCTTCTGTTTCAGTGAAGAGAATCGGAAATCTTTACCTAAAACAGCTTGTTCTTCCAGAGCTTAGACAGACACACAATTACTTTTCTAGGAGTCTGTACTGAGCTCAGGCCAGCCTTGCCAACATCCTAAGGTGCACTTGGATTTTTCTTACCTCCCCACAGGTTGGTTTGGCCATCAAGCCTGCCACTACAGTTGAACACTTGGCACCGTGGGCCAATCAGATAGACATGGCTTTGGTGATGACAGTAGAACCTGGGTTTGGAGGGCAAAAGTTTATGGAAGACATGATGCCAAAGGTAAGCTACGTTTCTCTTTCCTTATTTACTGAGCTAACAGTATGGAGTGTAGTGGTGAAGTAAATAAATCTTGTCTAGATGTGTAAGAAACTATGAGATGGTGGTGGCTCAGTGTGGATCTCAGTTGCCCACCTTTTTATATGGTTTCTTTTTATATGGTTCCTCAGGTTCAGTGGCTGAGGACACAGTTCCCCTCCTTGGATATAGAAGTGGATGGAGGAGTAGGGCCTGACACCATCCATAAGTGTGCAGAGGTAAGAGGTCGCAGCAGCGTACCATTCTCAGTCACTATGCTGAGACACTTGATCAGTTCCCAGAAAATAAAGCTTAGGAGGAATTTTGAATGTTAAGTTTTCAGAGGGAACACACTTAGACAACTAATATCAAAATCTACCCGAGGTCTAATCTTGTGCCTTTTCTTACTAGTGGTTACTGAAGCCTCCCCTAAGCTAGAGAAGTTGTTTGTTTCTTGTATGTTCAGGTAAATAGAAGCAATGATGAAGAAAGAGGAGGGAATAGCTGTCTTTTCTAAACCTAATTGGCATTGTAGTTAGAGGTATGTCCCCAGTGTCCCATAAGTAGCACTTGTTTGCCACCAGCCCAGAATTTGCTGCCTCCTTAAGTGCTTTACAGCAGGAAAACTGTAAGCAGAGGGTCTCTTCCACTGAACAGGTGTCCCATGTCTTTCAGGCGGGTGCCAATATGATTGTGTCTGGCAGTGCTATTATGAAGAGCGCAGACCCGAGGTCTGTGATCAATCTCCTCAGGAATGTGTGTTCAGAAGCAGCTCAGAAGCGCAGTCTGGATCGATGAGACCTGCCCAAGGTGTGTTCAAGAAGGCTCCAGGCATGCAGAACCCTTGTTTCTTGTGTGCAAGGGAGGGCTGGATGAACACTAATCACAGAAACTTGTTGCTGCTGAACAGAGGAGTCATTCCTTTGCTGCGATGATGCAAGCAGCAGTGGGAAACATTCTGCCTGTCTTTCAGGGTTGGAAATGAAATGGTTTGAGCCTGTCTCTTGATTCTGTGGAGGCTAATTTTATAGCACAAGCTCTAATGCTGACTGGATTGACTTACAGTCAGTTTTTTGCTTGCTAGAAGAGTGTAGCGTTGCCACAAGCAATCTGTCTTGTGGAAGACTCTTAATCAAACTGCCTTCTGCTGTGTCTGTATTTTGTCATTTGATCTGTGCATTCCTACAAAACTTTTCCACTACTGCATTAAATGCCCCTTCCTTGGTGTGGTAAGTCTCCTTTAAGCTGACTGTCACAAATGACTGGGTTTGGGACTAAGTTTGGGGGAAATGCAGTTGTTAGAGGGCTTAAAAAAAAATCCCACTAATGCTAGAAATGTCCCTGTGCTTTGCTTTTATCAAACAAGTCAGTGCAGCATCTTTACCAGGTCACAAAGTGGGGAATATCTTCTCAATTAGCTTTCAAAAAGCCATTTAAGACAACAGTGTCTGAAGTTCCAGGAAGCAACGAGTTTCCATGGAAGAACATTGCTTTAAAACTCTTCAGACAGCTAAAAATCTTGCCCCACAGCTTCCATGGTTTATGTGCCTGAATAAACCATTAAGGTGGTGACCTACAGGATTGGTACTGCTGAAGTGGTATGTAGGTTGAAACACCTGGAGATGGCTCCGTAAAAAAAGCTTATGGAACCGCACAGTTCTCAGTCCTTCAGCTGGCTGTGCCCACTTCACAGACCGGCCTGTCTGGGCACAAGAAATGAGAGCTGCAACACACTAGAGGAAGACCTGAGCAGGCCATTTTTGCATAGACCTGTCTCCCATGACTCCAGTTAGGATTGTTGACTCTTTAATATTTTGTGGTATTCCGAGTGGTATTTTTCCCTTAAAGTTGCAATTACAGAAGGGTCTCAAACAGTCTGCTGCTCTAGGGGCCCAGGCCAGGAGGCTCCCGAAGTCAGGTGTGTGTTGTCCTCGTAGCAAAGCTGGGCAGGTGTCACCTGGCAGCTGCTGAGGGCAGTGCTGGAGCTGGTACACCCCTTCTCCTGACCCCAGTGCCTGCAGGGTGCCCCACAGCACCCTAAGGACGAGTGAGGGCTAGTTCAAACAGTCTAGAAAAGTGTCTCAAAAGGCTGAAGTGCAACTTTTTCCTGTGTGGTTAACTGTGGCTTAGGTGAACAAATGCTGCTTCCTGTTCCCACTTGCAACCCCATTTGCGAACTAGAGTTGTCTGGACCTACTGCACTGAGTGATCTTTCAGAAGAGGCTTGCCAAAAGCAGGCTTGGCTAGGAAAGGCAAGTCCAAGGCCTGTTGGGTGTGTAAGAGCAGTTCAGCGGAGCTTCTGGAAAGAACCAGCATTGAGCTTAATGTACATGCATGAACAGTCACAGCTTTAGTAGGTAAAATGCAGGCTGAGCAGCCACCAGCTATGAAAATGCTAGTTCAGGATGTGGAGTCTGGTTTTCCATGCTGTTGAAAGCAGCAGAACAACAGCTGTGGTATCCTGGCCTCCTGCAGTTGAGTGTAAACTGGATTGAAAGGGTAATCAAAGTATTTCTGTTTTTTAGCCTAAATAATTTGGGGGGAACATCCAAGTTGTGCTAGTTAATTGACAGTACTAGGCTTTGTGGAACCTCGTGATATGCTCTCACAGGTTGTAGCCCCATCTCTGTCATTGTTTTAAAGCTGGCAGTTTGCACTTGCATTGACTCTCAGCTTAGGAGTCTTGTGGGAGAGACACTGCACACCCAGATAGTATAATTACTTAATTGCTTCTTTCTAAGTCCCACCCAGATGGGTTTATGCAGCTGGCTCCTGCTGCAGCAGCTTTTACACATCTAAGGTTAAAGTTGTTAGTGACAACATTCATGGAATTACTGTAATGAACGATTCTGGAATGTCCTTTAATTCTTAAATCTGTTTAAAGTTTCTATATATTTACAGAAGTAATAATCTGTTAGGGTCTGTTCAGGCCAGGCCTGCCCTCCTGTACTCAGGAGGGCCCACAGCCCCAGGGCCTGGAACCGAGTGCTGACATGAAAACCCAGCGAGCTGCCTGCATGGTCTCCCTGGGGCCAAATACACCCCAGGCCCGTGAGGGTGCAGTGCTCTGGTAAGGTTTCAGAAGCAAGGGAGAGCACAGCCAGGCTGGGGTTGAGGCACATGGTCTAGAGCACTCCAGGGGGATCTGACACCACAGGTCTGTCTGTCCTGAAAACAGGATGAAAGCAACTCTGACAGCGTCAAGGCAGGCTGGGCTTGGACACGTGCCGCACAGGGTGGTACAGCCCACAGCCCTGAGCAGGACAAAACACTGCAGGAGACACACACTGGACTTAATTTTAATAGGGTTAAGAAGTCTGTATTTGTACTTACATTCCATTAAGGTCCTGGATGCAGAGATGAAGCGTTTAAACCCTCATAGCAGCAGGGAGCAGAACATAAGTGGCCTTAAAGAAAAATCTTAATTGTACATGGTAAATTAAGCACATGGGAAATGCCTTTGTGCACCCCCACTTTCATGCCTGGGGGGCATTATGTTTAAGCTGGTATTTCACAGTCAGCCTCTGTAATACCTTCAGCCAGAGCACTGGGAGCAGCACTGACAGCTGTTCTGATAGCTTAAACAGGTTGGGTTTTGTTTCTGGGGTTTTTTTCTGTTTAAAACTTTGAAAAGGAAAGAAGACAAGAAGGGGGATCTTACACATTTTGTGGCTTCAGGGATAAGCCTGAGCTCTCAGCCTACTCCCACCACCAGCAGCTTCCTCACAACACCAGCATTCAGGTAAAACTGAGCTGTCTGGAGGCAGGAGTCCCAGTTCTGCTTGGAAAAGGGCTGCAGGCAATGAAAATGAAGAGGGGCTGATCCTGGGACAAGGTTAAGAAAGTTTTCTAACCCTGTCCCAGCAGTGAAATGGGGCTACTAAAAAATTAAGATGCCTTGCTGAATTTGCTCCTGGCTTTAGCAGAGACACAGTGGAGACAGAGAGGACAGGGCATAGGTCTCCTGCAAGGTGGCAGATGAGTGGAGGTGCCACAGGTGAGGAGCACAGCCTAAGGCCTCCCAAAAATGTATCTTGCTTGCCATGCACACACAGCATTGCCCACTTCCCCTGCCAGATGGAGGGATCTCCCGGTGGGAAGTGATGGGGGAAAGCCAATACAGACTGTACCTTTGCCAGCACATGCATGTGCTGCACACCTGATGGCAGAACCCTGCATGCCACCACCGTGTGGGGCAGGCCCGTGGTGGCACCATGGGCAGGAGGAATGGCTCTGGCACTGTGCTCTGGCTGTGCAATCTCTCAGGCAGCCACAGTTGCTGTCACAGGCCTAGCCAGCTGACTTCTGTACTGGGCAAGGTACCCAGCAGCTGCTTTAGCCCTTACTTGGAATGACCCAGCAGCCACACGATGGTTTGGCAGCCAGGATCTGAACTGCCAGTGCAAGGACACTCTACAGTTCCCCAGGCTGACCAAACACAAATCAAGCTCCTATTGTATAAGGTGATTTTGCCTCTTTTTTGCCTCCTTTTAAACAACTTTCCCACCCTCCAATCCAGAAAAACACCCTCCTCTCGCTCCTTCTCATAACATACTGGATTGCATTTCCCTTTCCTGGCAGCACCTTCAGGACATGGAAGGCAGCTGGCTGGCTGGTTTAATTGGTCTGTCCCATTTCTTGAAGTGCAGGAACTCCTCCTCTTGCCTCAGGGATCAGACAGCACAGGGAACCCTGACCTTACAACAAAGCTGGTCTGATAATGAATGGATAAAGGCATGGAAAAGAGTTACAAAGCATCTGAGGCATACACCTTCCAGAAACCCTTTCCCAGCAGCAGATGCTCATGCACGCAAGAGGGGGCAACATCCACCTCTGTACTGAGGTGCTGAGGGGGCCCTTTAGCCCCACAGTGCCAGCACAGCCTCAGTTCCACAGCAAAGCTACAGTGGGTTTGCAAAGCCATCTGTGGGCCAAGCAGGGCTCTGTGTCAAGAGGGAAGCACTGCTGCTTCGCTTCTAAAAAGCCATCAAATTCAGACTATGTACAACATATATAGAAATAACTTTTAATTAAAAAAAACCAACCTTGCATCAAAGATTATTGTATCAGACATTGAGGCAAGATTCAAGTTTAAGACAAACCAGTGTTAAAAAAGTGTTTAAAAAAATAATCAGAATGTGCAATAAACTACAATGTAGCAATAGGTTGTAGCGTTGAAACTTTACTGAACTGTGTTCAGATGCCCAGTGTGTATTTGCTGTCATTTTGACCAAAAAAAAAAAAAAAAGAGACTGACACTAAAACTGGGTCATCTGTCCAGTGCCATTCCAGATATTACACATGGAAGAAAACTGCATAAAAACACAGACTCCTATTAAACTGCCTTCAACTGTCCTACACAGAAAAACATCCTGTTGATGGATTATACCTACATTCAATGTTTAATCTTTGTTAATACCTCTTGGGATTGCAGATACATTCCAAGCTATGCTATTTGGATGCAAGTTTAAACAGCTTGCCTTTCTTTCCTCACTGTGAGTGTGCTGGGAAATTAAAGATTTATCCAGAATCACAGTGAAAAGCTTTGGGGCTTTTTTTTTTTTATTGGTCTTCTAGACATCAATCATCTTTTCCTTTCCAGCTAGTCACCAAATGTTGGCATACTTATGAGACTCTTACAAGGCACTATACAGAAACTGGAACAAGACTTTAAACATATTAAAGCAAAGTATTATGAGCCTCATTAGCTAGTGAAGGACAAAGGAAGTAAGATGACCCAAACCGCAGTATTCCAAGAGCTGCTTCACTGATTTGACTCAACACCTCTTTCCGCCTCTCTCTCCCTCCCCACATGCCCAAAGCAGAGACCCCTACCTTCTGGATAGCAGATACATTGACTATGGAAACACAGTGAGCTATTTCTACCTTATTGCTTGAGGACATCGATATGAAACATGCGCTGTCACTACTGAGAGCTGAGTACAGATTTTAAGCCAGATGCAAAACTTTCACATCACCTGCTTTGAACTGCTGGTTCTCACCTTACACATGCAGTTAGAGAGACAGGTTTTTGCCCCATGGTCACACCACAGAGGAAAATAACCTGAGGCCATCTCTTATCCCCTCTCTTTTCAAGTAGTTTTTCTGTGTTCAGTTTAAGTTGTTGGCTAAGGTAGGCAGCATCTCCTGCTGCACCAGAGTCCACTAGAACCAGAAATGCATTTGAAAACAAACAAAACAGAAAAGGATGATTATTGACAAATGTGACAATATGACAACAGACAGTGAATGGTGCCAGCAATTTATGTGTGCCCACTCGCGACACTGGGCATATTAGACTTCCAGC